TATAACACGTTACATGGTACAGAGGAACGAAGTACTACCTCGCACGGGATCGTGTCGCTATCTCGACACGCAGAGCATCGAGACACAAAGTAGAGATCGCGAGGTGTCGTCGTATGTCAATGGCAGCGTGTCCGAAGACGTCCACGTGGGTGGCTGCGTGGCGACGGCACGCGTCGTGTTAGCTGTTATAACAAAATGCGCTGGATCTCTGGCCGCGAAAGAGGGGTGCGCAGGCGTGAGAGCCGGGGGCGGGTCGCACTGTCTGCGATGTGATTGGCCGACGCACCTGCGACATGCGGTAGAGAGCCGGAGATGCGGCGCCGTATCTCAGAGCCGAAGATTTGGCGGGAACGCGGAGGACAATCGGCGCGTTCCGAGCGCTTCGTACCGCAGTGACGCACGGCTTGTCGCGGTTGCTACACCTTCTGATCGAGCCCATTCGCTTCAGAAGGGAGGGAGATGCACATTTGTTTGCATCGATGTACCGGCAGTGTGGACGTGGGGTCGTTTGGTGGGGCCTTGGACCGAGTTGGACCGAACGATGCACTGGATCTCGCAGTGCTTTGTCAGATGACACTTTCGAATTGGACGAGGAGCTGCTGACGGCTGTGGTACGCGCATCGATTCTTGCATTGCGCGTTGCAGTCATGCTAGTAGAATTGCAAGTCGGCTTGCGATTTCGGACGGAACGACAGCCGTGCTGGCGGTGACTAAAATACCTCGGGCCTCTGCAGGTATGACAGTGTTATACGCACATGGTCATCGCGCAGTTGACGAGGATCGACGCTACGTGCAATGCAGCAGCGGTCGGTGGTCGGACCAAGTTGAGGCTGCAGAACGCCGAACACACAGCCGTTGGTCTGGATCGTTGCTGATTTCTCTTGGTCACTGCGAGCGTCGACAGAAGACTCGAGAGCCACAACGCCCGTTAGCGTCGACATGCTTGCGCGGTGGCAAGGCAAAGGAAAATGCATGTAGAATTGCGAGTGCTCCGCTTGGAGGAGCCAGTACGTGCATTCCTCATCGTCCTCTCACGTTAGTACGAAGAATAGGTGACTATTGGGGGAGTTGAGGGCTGCCTTAACGTCGCTCCAAGCCTGTTCCACGCTGCTCTACTAGATATTTGGCGTATCAAGATCGCCATGCGCAGCCCTTGAAGATCTTACCGGCAAGTCCACAACTTTATCCGGTTCCGACGGTACCTTGAACCAAGGCCATCATTGACTGCTGCCAAGGTCAGCGCTGAGCTCGCATGGGCATGGACTCGCGTGCCGCCTACTACATGATCACTACACTCGCCACCATCCACTACAAAGCTATCATTGCCATGGACGACGTCAAGCAGGCTATTAGGCACCGCACCATGTCGAACTTGCCCAGAATGCAAGATGCGGGGGCGCGCCTGCAGGGTCCCATCAAAAAGAATCTGAAATTGGGCCTCGAGGCAACCGCCGATGACATCTAACGCAAAATCTTCAAGCATCAGACTGCCAAGAAGCTACCATTACTGTAGACGTCGTCTAGCCTGGCACTCTTGTGTTTAGTGTACTACGACTTTAATTGCCGTGCTAGTACCCTACCAATGCCACTTGTCTGCCTCGCGCATCTCCATCAAAGGGACACATAGACATAGGACATGCTAGCGACTACTACCTTTCGACTACGTGCTTGTAATACCGGCACCTTGCTTATTGTTTGCCCGTGTTGATGCGGTGTCGGTCGGGGGTAGGGGTGCCACATTGCCGTTTGTTAAATTCGGCATCTAACCTCTGGAAATGCATATGGTGGCCCATGGCACAACTGTGAATGGCCGACCTCGTCGATGAACGACCAGCCCGACCTCTCGGGCCTGCTCCTGCGGCTGTACCAGCAGAGCCAAGGAATACACAAGTCGAGCAAGAAGGCCTCGGACGAGCTCCAGTCGCACCTCGCGACGACCGCGCTGCCCGTCGAATGCCATGAGAAGCTCTTCCACCAGATTCTGCACCACGCGACGCTGTCGGGCGACGCCCACGCGGGCCCGACCCGCTGGCTCACGCTCGTGGCCGCGTCCAACCTCCTCTGCACGGCCGGCATGCTTGCCATGTACCCGATGCCCGTGCAGCAGAAGATCCTCCTGCGCGTTTTGCCCGACGCGCTCGAGCGCTGGTTCAAGCTCACGGCGACCAACGACCGCCAAGCGAGTGGCAATGGTCAGCTCCGCGACGGCGTCTTTGTACCGTCGACGATCCTCCAGCACGAGCGCCTCGCGCAGCAGAGCGGCCAGGCGTTTGCGCTCGCCATGTTTCTCGACGCAATCGTGTCGCTCCTCGAAGGCAGCGACGACGAGGCCGCGGTCGTCGAGCTCAGCCGCGTCCTGCAAACGACTGCCATTGCGCACCCGAGCGCGCTGCAGAAAGGCTTTGTCCGGGCGGCGAACGTGCTGCTCGGCTGGTCGACGCGCGTCGAGACCGCGCCACTCCATCGGTGCGTCTCCGTCGTCGTCGTCTTTGGATCTCGTCCAACGACGATCAACTCTGTGTAGAGACTCGCTCGCGACCGTCCTCTTTGACTGCAAGGA